TCTGAAGTTGAATCTGATCATAGTTTTGATGTACACGTCTCTAAATCAAAAAAAAACAAGTAAAGCCCGAATCTAAGCAGTCCAAAATCAAAAAGGAATCCAAACCTCGCAAGACAAAACAAAAAAATACTCCTGCTTCTGGTAGACTCAAAGAGTCATTGCAAAACAATAAGTCTAGAAATAAATCAACTGTTATTGATAAATCACTTCAAAGAGTTATACTAGATATGCTTGATGGTATCGTACCTATAGATTGGATTGAGAAACTTAAAGCTAAGATTGAGAACCCATCTGATATACTCCCATCTATCAAAAAATCGAATTTTACAGATTATCGAGAACCGGTTCCAGCAATACCCGATTCAGAGGAAGAAGAAACATTAGATGATCCTATGGAGATAGATTTTGTTCGAAGAAAGGAACCTACCACAAGCCTTGCAACTATACCAGTTAAAATTCGACGATTGAAAATTCCAGCAATGTGTCTTGACAGTGGAGCTGAACCTGCAATTGTATCAGAAGATATTGTTAAACATGTAAATTGGCCAATTGATAAATCAGAAAAATACGATCTTAGTGGTGTTGCAACAGTTCTGACAAAATCTATTGGTATTGCTCGTAATTTCCCAATAACATTCCCTCTAGGTTTTACTATACGTGAAGATTTTGTAGTTGTACGACCTCCTAAACCAACTTTGATATTTCCAAATCCACTTCTCAAGAAATATAAATGCGCTATAGATTGGGGGAAAGATGAATTGAAAATTCCTTTCAATGGGAAGGATCACATTATTCCGGTTACTATGCACAAAGTCAAGAATAAACTCGAAGTGAACTGTGCAACTGTAGCTCAAGATGATAAGCCTTCGGTATCTGATCAAATTTCTCAAGAGGCGGAATGTGATGAGGATAAGAATGTACCATTCGAAAAATGGTGTGCTCCTGCGGACTTTAGCTCAGATTTTGATGATCCGTCATTAAAAAAAAACGCATGAGTTATGAGGAGTTAGAAAAATCGCTATATACTACTCTCCAGTCTAAGGCTGAAATAAATGATCTTTGTGAAAAGTTGCAAATACGTTATGAAAAGCTACTCGAATATATCTCTTCCGGAGATGAAAGTAATAATAAACAAAAGATAAATTAAGTAGCTAATAGGCGAGTCATATTCGTTTTATTTTTCTCATCTCTTTTGGACTCTCGTTCGTATAATGCATCAAGATCCTCACTACTTATCTTTTCTGTCTCATTAGAGTTATTAGTAGGTATCGCATCAGACATACGAGAGCGGAGCTCATTATTACATAATACAGATTTAGACCGAGATTTGGAACTTTTCTTTTTTATTTCTGTATTGAGAGGAGTAGATTCTGGATATAAAGTCTCTCTTCCTATTCGATTAAAATTTTCAGATGGAGTTGATGTGACTAGTGTAGGCTCTTTAAGGCATTGTTCTGCAATAGATATAGGTAATATTTCGGTGGAAATGGTACTTTGTATTATTTGTTGTTGGCGCTCTCGATCTTCCCATATATCATCTACTCGATGTTCATTAATATGGAAATCTCTCATAATTCTATACTTAGGTACCTTATCTTTGAGCGATCTAATTATTTCTATCTGCTCAGAAGTTAGATATGTAGATTTTCGACGATAATATGATTTTAGAAATGGTGCATTCATGGTTTGATTTTTATCCAATATTTAAAATGATATTTAATATTTTAGAATAATAAAAAATGATATCTATTATTATAGTACAATAAAAAATAACATCTATCATTATAGATGAATATGAAATATTAACGTAAACAAGCCTTCAGCTAATAATACTAATACAAAGTACTAGGCTCGAAGAGCCATTGCTCCGCAATAGAAACCAAAATAAAAAATTAATATATAACCTAACTCAACAATATCTAATATATTTTTTTAATAGTCTAGGTTATCTAACATTAAATATCGTTATATAATAATAGAATTATTAGCGATATTAGTTTTATTAACATCTGTATATTATCTATTATTTAGTGGAGTAAATGCAAGGTGCTAATATGGCTAATGTATATACATTACAAAATATTAAAGGCCATCGACTTGGTAGTATACGTGAAGAGCTGGAAAAAAAAATACACGATGCTATCAAATCCAAAGCTGAAATTAATAATCTTAGTGAGAAATTACAGGATAAATATATAAAGCGAGTGAAGGCTTTTGATCGAGAAAGAAAGGGGTGGAATCGGGATTCATTACGAAATAATACTGAAATTCAAAAATTACGTACCCACGCTTTACAAGTTATTAATGAGAATAAACAATTACAAAATGAAAATACTAACCTTATTTCTCATAATGCACAAAAGGATATTTTTGTTGCTGAATCCAAGGCTGAGAATGCTACAAAATCTAAGAAAATTAGATCGCTCGAATCTATGATCAAGATATTGGAAGGTAAGTTGTCTTCAGCCCAGAAGGATGCGTTTTCAATTCAGAATAACTCAACTAAAAAAGAATCCGAGATATTATCCCTCAAGTCTAAAATGACTGAATTAGAACAAGAGTTAGCTTCAACGGTTAATGAGCTTGAGCGTCTGAAATCGGAGGGTATATCGAAACCCATAGTTGGTGGAGATGACGAAAAAAATATTACTAAGTCTGATAATATATCTTTGGGTAGTACTGATATCAGTAAATATTTTGTATGCAGAAAAAATATGGATCAAGCTGGAAAAATTGATACTATTATACCGGATTACACTGATGATGAAAGTACTCCTATACCCAAATCTCCGAGAGTAAATACTGAGATTATTCCCAAGGTAAGTGATGAAATCGATATTAGCAAGACTAATAAAGATATATTCCCAACCCAGGAGATAATGAACGTGGCCCCGTACCTTGCACAGCCAGAAAATAATACACCCTCTTTGATTAGATCACATCCTCAGATTTCGGTGGGAGGAATAGAAGCAATCCCTGCTACGGCAAGAACTTTGATGTCACTGCTATCAGCATATATGTTACTTGCTTTGTTGATTATTGCAGTTGTGTGGTTTGTAAGACGCACATGGGGATTTGAGAGGAAAAGTGATCGGTTACGGGATGCATGGACTAGGTATTAGTAATTATCTATTTAAACTTGGATATTATTTATGTACGAAAAAAATATTATTAATAATGTATATGTATCTTAGTAGATTGTGGCGATCTTAGCTAAGAATACTTAATAATATAGGTCGATAATCTCATCAACATCCGCTTCGGATGAGTCATCTTTTTTACTACTCTGCATGATTGATACCGCTTGAACACGTGCAATCTCAAGACCAATTGCTTTGTACCATGTATTTCGGAATTCTGTTAATGCTTCACATTCTGATTCCAGGTTATATCGAAGTATATACTCTTCCAAAATCGTAACATTGGTCTTGCATTTTTGTGACTTCATAATTAATTTATATAACTCATTTCTATATTCTACATTAAGCTTAGACAATTCTAAAAGTAGATCTGATAATTTCAAACGAATGGAGTCTGCAATTTTATCTAATGCATTAAGATAGCCATTACACCAAGTAGAGGCACCTGAAGGCCTGGTTATGCCAACTTTGCTAATACTAGAACATATTTTTTCAGCATGTGTAGTAGCATTTTTCCATAAATGGGAGATAATGGCTTCATCTTTTTTCGGTGTATCACGTAAATCTTTGATATAATTTTTGAGCCATTTTTTAGCCGACTTCTGTGACTCTTCATCTTTAATTTTCGCTATTTCATCTTCATCTAGACTCAGAGAGTCATTGCTCTGCAGGCCATATGGGCATTTACTACGTAAATATAAATCCTTAGCAATTTTTAATTTCTTCTCCTTGGATTTCTTTTTATGATCCAAGACTTTTGAGAGGGATTCAGGTGATGGTTGATATTTATCATCATAATTTATAAAACGGGCACAGAGACCAAATAGACTTTCGATATAATAATCAATATTTATTTTCTTGTTGAACTTTTTTACCACATCTGGGTATTCCATACAGTCTCCTTTTTGTTGTGGTATTTTTTTCCCGCAGTTATCATAAATCTCCTCAGGTACTACTACAATGTAACTAATTCGTTCACCGGGTTTGGGGACTTTATATAGGTATTCGTTAGCGGGTAAACCCTTCCTTATAAGCTGTTGATTTTCCAATACTTCACGAGAATACTTAGCCCCCATTCGCGAAACAAACCGTTCTACAGAAATATTCCCCCGCTTACCTTCCTTTTTAGGCCTCCATATACATGTCTGAATAAATTCATCATAATCTAACTTGGAAAGTTTTTCCACATTTTCCCAAAGAACTTTTTCAACAATCTGGTGTATTGTCTCCTCATTACCGACTTTCAAAGTTCTATTCATAATTTCCTTACCTACATCACGAAAGAGCTTAGATTGGCCTCTTTTCACAATATCTACCCCTTTAATGAAAAGCTTACCCGGATTGAAATTTGGCTCCTTTTTATGCTCAAGACCATAGTATTTTTTCTTTCCTGTAAATACCACGGGAAATAAGACCTCTTCATATGCCATATTAAGGTAAGGCGTTCCATTGTCTTTTTCAAGTTCAGTATTTACTTCATTACGGAGGTTTGCCATCACTTTCATAGATATTTTTACCATTTCCTTCCAGTACTCTTCTTGTGAGAGTTGATCTAATTTATATTTTCGATCACATTCCTGGAAACACTCTTCTGGACATGTGAGATATAAAGAATTGGTGTCTCCATATTTAACACCGAACCCTTTGTCTTCAACAAAATTTCTAACAAATTTAATATTACGTTGCCCAGCAGAAGTAACTCCACCTGCTAACTGAAGTTGATAGAATGGAGAGAGATTGTTACCTGCCTCACCATAAAATGTATTCATATATAATTTTACTGCCTTTTGTTTTGAGTCTAAACAACTGTATTCGAAACTTTTATAATCCAATTCATTAAGGGTTTCTTTCATCTTCTTTCGTTTATTAGATAGATTTTCCAACACCCTAGCATATAAACCCTTTTCTTCAGGTATATTATTATGGTGAATAGACCAAGCTTCTATAGTTCGACCATTAAATGAAAACTCAATCTTGTGAAGTTTCTTCCCACTACGTAGTGCATTTATCGCCTCTCCACGAGATAGTATAATCTTATCGGGTGAGAAGTTGTAAGTCATCATAAGACTTGGATATAAGGAAGCAAAATCTAAGCCTGTTACTGGGCGTTTGTTTTCCAGACCTTTTATTGGTGTAATAACATAAGCTCCTGGATATTTACCAGATTCTGTATTTTCTGAAGCAATCATACTACACAACATATTACTACTCCAAGCTTCAGCTCCCAAAAGATTACATACTTTCATACCCCCCGCAAAATAATGAGAATCAGAAAGGGACACATATGCAATGGATGATACTTCCCTATAGTCATTAATTACATTATGCTTAACCATAAGCTCTTGGCATCGCTGTGCATCTATAACACAATAATTTGCAACTTTGCACATATTTTTAGCCGATGTATCAGAGGGGTGAAGTATTGCATCTTCATATATTTTGTTCATAGTAGTTATTGGCATATCCGCCTTGTTACCCAATCCACATTTTTCCAAATAATATTTCAGTGAACTTGCTTCTGATTTTAAGTATAACTTTTTGAAACAAGCACGAACATCAATAGGTATACACCCTGGGATTTTGAGATACTTCGAATAAAATTTTTCATCATCTATCTTTATCTCACTTCTTCGATATTTCCATTTTATAATTTCTTCAATGTTGGATGAGTCGGGTGATATGTGATTAAACATCCATTCAAGAATACCTAAACTTTTGGCTTTTTCTATAATGAAAGGCCAGTCATACTGCGAATCATTAAATCCGATTTGTATATCTGGAGCTAAATGTTTCCAACATAACGCAAATGCCTTCAGTAGGTTGGTCTGATTTCCACATATTATTGTAATCCATCTGGGATCTGGTTCCGTCTCTACATCAACTAAACATATTTGCAACAGTGGATTGGGATCATCTTTCCAATGAACTGTCATACAAATCATAAATACTTGATCCTCTTCATTTCTTGCATCAGGTAAATCCCCCATTTTCCGTCCACTATATGTTTCTATATCCCAGGCGAGAACAAGAGTTCTGTCATATGAGAGAACTTTGGAAATTATTAGATCATTTGATTTATTATCCTCTAAAGACCGATAATTATCTACAGATACGCGAAATGAATATGAATAATGTGGTAAATTTGTATCAGAAATACAATGATAATCATTTAATATTGCCCACTTGGAAAGAGGTAACTTCTTTTCACGAGCTATTTTTCGATAATAATGCACGTTGGTAATGTCATCTGATGCTGTTTCAATGTCATACTTACGTACCTCTTTTAAAATTCGTGTTCTATCATAATGATTCCACGTAGTGATGCGAATGTATGCCTTTTTCTCGGTATGGTAACCACGAATTGGGTACGCGTTGATGTATTTCACTCCAAACTTCGATTTATCAATCTTTTCCGCTCCTGAAATAATTTTTACTAATCTTGGTTTGAATATAGATAAAGGTTCGTTATCGGGCACAAGGATATCAAAGAAAGGTTTGATACCTATAATATCTACCCTAGCCTTTTGTCCATTAATCAAAGTATGTGAGATATAAAGAATTGGTGTCTCCATATTTAACACCGAACCCTTTGTCTTCAACAAAATTTCTAACAAATTTAATATTACGTTGCCCAGCAGAAGTAACTCCACCTGCTAACTGAAGTTGATAGAATGGAGAGAGATTGTTACCTGCCTCACCATAAAATGTATTCATATATAATTTTACTGCCTTTTGTTTTGAGTCTAAACAACTGTATTCGAAACTTTTATAATCCAATTCATTAAGGGTTTCTTTCATCTTCTTTCGTTTATTAGATAGATTTTCCAACACCCTAGCATATAAACCCTTTTCTTCAGGTATATTATTATGGTGAATAGACCAAGCTTCTATAGTTCGACCATTAAATGAAAACTCAATCTTGTGAAGTTTCTTCCCACTACGTAGTGCATTTATCGCCTCTCCACGAGATAGTATAATCTTATCGGGTGAGAAGTTGTAAGTCATCATAAGACTTGGATATAAGGAAGCAAAATCTAAGCCTGTTACTGGGCGTTTGTTTTCCAGACCTTTTATTGGTGTAATAACATAAGCTCCTGGATATTTACCAGATTCTGTATTTTCTGAAGCAATCATACTACACAACATATTACTACTCCAAGCTTCAGCTCCCAAAAGATTACATACTTTCATACCCCCCGCAAAATAATGAGAATCAGAAAGGGACACATATGCAATGGATGATACTTCCCTATAGTCATTAATTACATTATGCTTAACCATAAGCTCTTGGCATCGCTGTGCATCTATAACACAATAATTTGCAACTTTGCACATATTTTTAGCCGATGTATCAGAGGGGTGAAGTATTGCATCTTCATATATTTTGTTCATAGTAGTTATTGGCATATCCGCCTTGTTACCCAATCCACATTTTTCCAAATAATATTTCAGTGAACTTGCTTCTGATTTTAAGTATAACTTTTTGAAACAAGCACGAACATCAATAGGTATACACCCTGGGATTTTGAGATACTTCGAATAAAATTTTTCATCATCTATCTTTATCTCACTTCTTCGATATTTCCATTTTATAATTTCTTCAATGTTGGATGAGTCGGGTGATATGTGATTAAACATCCATTCAAGAATACCTAAACTTTTGGCTTTTTCTATAATGAAAGGCCAGTCATACTGCGAATCATTAAATCCGATTTGTATATCTGGAGCTAAATGTTTCCAACATAACGCAAATGCCTTCAGTAGGTTGGTCTGATTTCCACATATTATTGTAATCCATCTGGGATCTGGTTCCGTCTCTACATCAACTAAACATATTTGCAACAGTGGATTGGGATCATCTTTCCAATGAACTGTCATACAAATCATAAATACTTGATCCTCTTCATTTCTTGCATCAGGTAAATCCCCCATTTTCCGTCCACTATATGTTTCTATATCCCAGGCGAGAACAAGAGTTCTGTCATATGAGAGAACTTTGGAAATTATTAGATCATTTGATTTATTATCCTCTAAAGACCGATAATTATCTACAGATACGCGAAATGAATATGAATAATGTGGTAAATTTGTATCAGAAATACAATGATAATCATTTAATATTGCCCACTTGGAAAGAGGTAACTTCTTTTCACGAGCTATTTTTCGATAATAATGCACGTTGGTAATGTCATCTGATGCTGTTTCAATGTCATACTTACGTACCTCTTTTAAAATTCGTGTTCTATCATAATGATTCCACGTAGTGATGCGAATGTATGCCTTTTTCTCGGTATGGTAACCACGAATTGGGTACGCGTTGATGTATTTCACTCCAAACTTCGATTTATCAATCTTTTCCGCTCCTGAAATAATTTTTACTAATCTTGGTTTGAATATAGATAAAGGTTCGTTATCGGGCACAAGGATATCAAAGAAAGGTTTGATACCTATAATATCTACCCTAGCCTTTTGTCCATTAATCAAAGTACCGTAAATACGTAGAATATATGTAGATATATTTTTTACATACTCAGTGGCGTCACTCACATCATTAGGCATGAAGTATATAGGCTGGTTATTGGATAAGCTTTGTTGAAGTATAGCCATTAACTCATTATCACATTTCGAAATGATATCATTGCGAGTTGGAATTCCAGCTAAAGTTTCCCCGCCCCCGTACCCGATCACTTGTGCGTTTTGTTTGCTCATTTTTTATTGGTATGTTTCAATCTTTGTTCGATTATATTATTACAATATAGTTTGGAAAAGTTTAAATTAATTTTTTCGGTCGGTACATAACGATATCAAAAAAAATGCATCGAGTTTTGGTAAGATGAATGAAGAGAATTGCGATCTCGATTAGTGAATACTTTGGGTATATAAGTTCGGAAATATATTATAAGAAAAATGGGAGTTATATACCCATTTTGATAGTATGTGCTCGGGGTATATAACTTCAGTAATATTATATAAGAAAAATGGGAGTTATATACCCATTTTGATAGTATGTGCTCGGGGTATATAACTTCAGTAATATTATATAAGAAAAATGGGAGTTATATACCCGTTTCGATATATGTTTTCGGGGTATATAACTTCAGTAATATTATATAAGAAAAATGGGAGTTATATACCCGTTTCGATATATGTTTTCGGGGTAGGTGATCTGGTGTAGTAATCTGCGGTAATATATATAAGAAAAATGGCAGAACACTACACTTTTTTTGGGGTAGGTATCTACCCACTTTAATGGTATGTCTTCGAGTGTATAAGTTCAGTAATATTATATAAGAAAAAACGAAGTTATATACCCATCTGATGATATGTTTTCGGGGTAGCTAACTTCGGTAATATTATATAAGAAAAAATGAAGAAGGCTACCCATTTGACAACATATTTCTGGGTATATATTCCGGGTATATTTAGTCGAAGTTTACTATTTTTTACTACCCATTTCTATGGTATGTTCTCGGATATATTTCTGGTGTCAAAAATTCCGGTAATCGAAATCGGCATAAATGTTGGTAGCATTAATCGATAGCATAACCGGATAGCGTGTATATAGCATAGCCCGGTAGCATAACCTACCTCGGCTATTTTTTTGCAATGGAAAACGGTCAAGATCGCTAAGTTAACATGTGATATCAAATGACGTATGAAATATGTTTGACGAGGCAAATGCAAATCACACGTCATCCGATAAGTAGACTATAAACGTCTCATCTTTGACGAGGCAAATGCAAATCACACATCATCCGATAAGTAGACTATAAACGTCTCATCTTTGACAAGGCAAACGCGAAACTCACGTCACACCTGAGTCTATTATAGTCTAATTTAAGCCGTTTTGAGTTTATATAAACTCAAAACGGTTGCTTTTACAAAATTAAATGATGTAACAAATTCTCAATAATTTATTCATATTTTTATAGTTCCAATCGTATTAGAATTATTTACAAGTGATGATAGAAACAATTATAATAGTGAATTAATTATAAGCAGGTAAAGAAGTAATATAAAATATATATATATATATATATATATATACATAAATTAATGTTTTAATGTTTAATGTGTTTATTTCCAATTTATTATTATTCATTTGCATCATCATCTACCTATGATTTCATTTATCTATGAAAAAATTTTCCCACTTTATAATATAATATGCTTTTTTTTTTTAAATGAAATTTTCTTGTATATATTTTTCGCATACTTTACTGTAAAAAAACATTTTTTTTAATAATAATTTATAATAATTAATAAATAATTTTTTTATGGAAAAAAAAAAAATTAAAAACAAATGAAAATTAATAACGTATATTTCTCAAAAACTAGCAGGGGAAAAATGTTTTTAAAAAAAATAGCCCTTTACGCTTTGTAGGGGAGGGGGAGCCTCTCATGAATTAATTACATTACACGTCGAATGGCGCCTATCTAAAATATTAATGTTAATATCTGCGGATTTTATTAAAAACTCTTTCTACTAAGCAATAAGTTTGTTGAGCTTATACACATTTTTAAAGATTGAACAAAAAACTTTAATATTAAATTTAAATAATTCGCCCAATGAAAATCATTATTGAAGTGATATAAAAACTCGAATTGGCGTAAAGTTCGTAATAAAATCGCGCCTGTTATTTCAAAAATAAATGGTTTATTTTTACTTAATAAATGGTTTATTTTTACTTAATAAATAATATTTTACGTGTCCCTCTTCCTGACATTTATCGCATATTCTTTTTGGACAGTGTATTTTACATTCTCCACATTGTATTTTTGGGCAATCTTTAAATTTATGGCCGCTTGCTTCACAGCTTGAACACCTGAACCAGTTATTTTCTTGTCTTTGTTTCCTTGCTAAGGACTTTCTTTTTTCCTTCTCTCTTGCCATTCTTCATTTCATTGGCTTCCGTTAATTGTGCATGATCTTTTCTTCTGGCATTTTTCCAACAATTTCTTCTTCTAGTTTCTGGATCTTTTAAATCGATCTTTTTTGTTCCTCATTCAACAATTTGTTGATTGATTGTTGATAATCTTTCCTTTTCTTCCTTAAGTTCGATATTATTTGTTCCTTCGGTTCTTGTTCTCAATAATGAATTGATTATCTTCATAAAATATCCAGCGAGCTTCCTCATTTTTGATATATCCTCCACAAAGAATATGTAGAACAAATAGTATACATGGGGGAGATATATTACTATAACCTTGCTATTGATGATAACACCTATCTCGCCTGAGCAAAGAATTAAGACAATATCTTTTTTTTTTTAGACAATATCTAATGGTTGAATTTTCACATGATTTCAAGGATTCATCAAATGTCAAAAAATAAAAAATTTCATCTTTATTAAATTCTAACACCTCTAACACACGTAAAGCACACATTTTATTGCTTAATTAAACTAAAATATAATATTGATAAAACCTATATTATTTGAAATTGTACAAATAAAGGTATATAAATAAAATAAAATAATTGAATAACAAACAATTAGAAAATTTATACGCGTTCACATACATACGCATACATGGACAGAAGAATGGGACACCCACCCATTACACAAAAATGTACATAACAAATTTATATCAGTTTATAGCAAGATTTTTGATGATAGAAAGAATGACGTGCTTTGAAATTTGTACATGTGATAAGCTAGGATCTTCTGATTCTCAGACCAGAATTTCTTTTGTGTTTTTTGTCTAATTAACATATTAGGATGTGTCCCAATTCTTTGTACAACAAATATAAAATTTTATTAATTTTATTAATTAATTCAACTTTCAAACATCAAATAAAACAACCAAAAAGTCGGTGATCTCTACACAATTTTAAAGACAAAAGTACCAGTTACAGCTTATGAATATGGCGATTGATTGGTCCATTGGTACAAAAATATGCTGCTACCAAAGTAGAACCAGGACCTGTAACTTATTTCAAAGAAATGCTTGATGAAATGTCAAGACAAAACGTTAAATGGATGTTGGATCGAAGGTGCTCCTCACATATTATTTTTGGATATAAATCCTGTTAGGGATAGACTTGATTCATGGATGGCTGATTTATGGAATTCCTTCTCCCAATTTTATAGAAATCAATTTGGTGCACCAAATGATCAAGAAACCAACGATGCAATTCTATTTGGTTACCTGGTTGGTTGGTTTATAAACGATGTAAGTTCCAGTTCAATCAATATAATGCATTCATATATCATATATTTATTTATATATCATATACATAGTTTGTAGTACGCGAAAGATCCAAAGCTATCATCGCACACTTTCATGAATGGCTACCAGGAGTTGCCATAGCCTTATTTCGTAAACGAAGAACCGATTTAACAACAATTTTTACCATACGTGCAACCTTATTAGGTTACTTATGTGCTGGCTCTATAATAATATTCAAATTTTCAAGTGGATGAAGAAGAAGCAGGAAAACGTGGAATATATCACCGTTATTGTATTGAATGCGCCGCATTCCATTGTGCCAATGTTTTCATCACTGTCAGTCAGATCACTGCTTATGAAGCCGAACTTTTATTAAAATGAAAACCAGGTAATTATAATGACCACCATCATGATGATTCTGAATAATGAAATAAAAATAAAAAATATAATCTTTAATTATTTCATTTTATAATAGACGGAGCTCTTCCAAATGGTTTAAATTCTCTGCTATGCATGAATTTCAAAATTTATATGCAATGAATAAAGAAAAAATATGTGATTTTGTTAAAGGACATTTTCATTGCCATTGTGATTTTGACACACTTTACTTTTTTTCACTGCTGATCGTTATGAACATAGAAATAAAGTTGTAGATATGTTCATTGGATCATTAGCTCGTAAGTCTCGAATTTTAATTATAATAATAAAAGGTTTTTTAACGACATATTAAAAAAAATATTTATTATAGGTCTTGATTCTCTTTTGAGAGCATGTATGTAATTCACCAATGACTTATAATTATGCCTGCTGCAACTCATTCAATCGCAGTTGAATTTTTGAAATTGTAAAAGACATCACTGAAAAATCGGTCAAAGAACATTGAAAAGGCAGCTAGATCTTCAGAGTAAGCATATATTAATTACCACTATTAATATTACATTTTTCATACATTAATATTAATATTGATATTAATATTTATAGAGGTCATATTAATGATACATTAAATGATCAAAAAGAGTTGCTAACCAAATGGAGAAAAGGTACTTTTGAGACGACATGTAATTGCTCTCAGTCGTAGTATACTTTCACCAATAGTGACACATAATATGGTAGATGATGCTAATGACCCAAATTTGAATCAACTTTGACAAGTCCAACTATTCAACAATTCATCAGGTCGTGTCAAAGTGGTATTCCAACCAGAATTTATAAATTCATTTGGGATTGACTATGAGGATTGCCATATGGGTGTATTTCCAAGTCATTATGAACTGTGAGAATCCATTACAGCATATTTAAAATAGTAGTAGATTTTGATTGGCCAATCCATTCCTCTAAATCAAAGGAAGAAGATGATGATTATGACAAATAATATTTAAATATATTATCATTACATCTATCCACTACACTAATTCTATCTAATCAGATGTGTATAAATTATTGAAGGACACTTGTGGTCTTTTGATGTCTTATGTTATGACTTCTTGTCTGACATTCCG